ATGCTGGTGTCCAGACAAGAAGTCACATACGAGCTAAACAATTGCCTTTTTCTGCTTCTTTTTTTTTTTTTTTTTTACTGAAAACTGGAAATTTTCAATTTTCATTGAAAATTGAGACGTGATGATTATGTAGACTCCTCACAGAAATCAAAATGAAAGGAGATTAAAAATAAATAAATTAAAAAGCTGTAACCATCTTGACGAACTCTGACAGCAAAGCAGGCCAGAAGGGGATAATATTTGACAGAAAACGAGCAATTTATTTTCACACACCCACTGTACCAACTGTTATGCTGAAGGTCACTATTAAGAAAACCACTTGAAAACACTCGTTTTGTCATTGACTGAGATGATTCCAAGTTTACAAGGTTTTCTCAATTTTAGAATTGGTATTTGGTAGCTCTCAAATCCACACCTAGAAGAATCAGTATGAAATAGTAAGTCATTAGGGCTTGTAAAAGAAGTAGCTATCTTGGGTAGTTTATAGAGAGACTCAACAATCCATAAGTTTATAAGGCCAAATAACTCAACTATTCCAATATCAACACCTCCTTTTGTAGTCAGAAACTTGGAACTGCACAGAAAGACTAGCAGCTGTTCTAAGAAAGAAAAAGATATGAACAGCAAACACCTCAGCAAATTCAGATTGGGAGTTGAAGGTCTCTGAAGAATTCTAAAAGTCCTGAAACCAGAATAAAGCCTTCTGTTTCTGTGTTAAACTATTCCAGAAATACTAAGTCTATCACAACCTCATTATTCCTTATCTAGCAACATGCTACTAAAAGAAGCAACACTTATGACCAAAACTCAAAACTTCAGTTTCTCAAGATCTCAGATTATTTGTTTTATATTAGCAGCAAAAACAATTTGATAACCCGTAAAGGACATGCAGATTCCACTGCCTTTTTTGGTTAAAACAAGCTTCATAATTGTCAACAATGAATTATGCCAGATAATCTGTTTCAAAGACCTACTTAATACGTATTGATTGATGTATGTACTCTAATTCCACTACACATGACATTTCAGAATTACTTTCATTCTCAGTGACAACAAACCACATCATAAGCATTAACACCTGAGATTTTAATTTATAATGAATGTATCAAGCCAAAAGCAAGTAGAAGAAAGTGTTCTTGTGGAAATTCTTCAATATTTGAGGCTTTTAGTTATGTTCTGCTACACAGCTGGTGTAAATTAAATATGTGAATATGACCAGTTATGGTTGGTCATTTTTGTTGGTATAAGCAAATCCCTACCTACAACTAAATAGTACCAAAGGCTGATATTAAATTGCACTAGTCCTGCTCTGCTAATATTGCACAAAGAACTGTCCCAGCTTAGCAAGCTCCTCAGTGTCATGTCAACTAACTCCTCCACCATAATATGAAAACACAGATGTACAGCAGTGTGATTTGAGAGATCTTCCAAGACTGGTAAAATGAAGATAAATGAAGAGTTTTAGCATCTGTCTGAGATAATAATACCAGGAACATAATCTGAGAACAGTTCTGGAATGAAACAATCTTGTATAAGAGGCAGGTTTCACCTGAACCTTAAAAGAATCGGGCTGGTGGCATATTCAAATCAAAAAGGTCACAAACAAGATTATACACCAAAGAATGAAAGAAATCCAGCAGGTGCAGAAGATGGCACAAAGCGTCAATGCTATTATAGATGAAGATGCAGAAGTTCTGTATCCTCAAAGCAATGGAGAACAGGAAATTGAAAGCCATTTTTATCATCTACTTGACTTACAGAAAGCACAATATCAAGGGAAAACATTGGCACAAATACCAGTACCTAACTAGTCTTTGTCTAAGAAGAAAATATAACAGTAATCAGGCTTCAGCTATTTCTGTTTGGACAAATATCCTAAATGTATGTAACACAGTAGCTATGTTTTTAGACCATACCTATGACTGTTTCATGGAACGACTGTTAGGGAAGCCACAAGAGAAGGCAATGAGACTCTTGGATGTGGGTTGCATGGAGGTTCAGATTTTAAAATTTACTTGTGAGCAGTTTCCTTGTAACAGCAACCATAACATACTATATTAAACACTCCCACAGCTTTGCTGAAGGCTGAAAAGTACTTACCTGCATGTAAAGTGAAAATTACTTAAGCATACAATACTGAAAAGCACAGGGTTCATACATACTGCCTGGCAAAAGAAAGCTTCATCCGCAAACAACACAGTAAGTGAAATTATTGAAAATAAGGGAAAATGTTACATAACACTAACATTGTGCCCAAATGATCAATGTCAGTATTAAAAAAAATAATACAAAAATCTAACAGATTTAACTGTAAAAAACAACAACAACAAAACCACGGTAGGACAGAGTTTGAAACGCAGCTGACACACGGAAGCAGAACTCATAATAAATCTTTCTTCAAATCCATCAGGAGAAGGAAGCCTGCCAGAGATTATGTAGGGCCAACTGATAAATGAGAAAAAGGAACACTTAAAGAAGATACATCCATCTGCAGCAAAGCTAAATGACTTCTTGGTACTGGTTTTCACTGAGGCCTCTCCAACAGGAGTCCTTCTCCTAAATGCTCGTTAAAAAAAAAAAAAAAAAAAAAAAAGTGACAAAATGAACTGTAACACATCACCAAAACCAAACTATTTTCACCCAAGAGTTCTGAAATGACTTAAGGATGAAAAGGCTAAACTATTAATCATCGTCTGTAGCTAAAATTGGCTTGGTATCTGATAACCTGAATAAAAAATGTGACATCTGTTAAATAAATAAAAATATAACCAACAAAAAACACGTGCATTCAGGAAAGCTGCAGGGAACTACAGGCCTGAAAGCTTGGATTCTGTAATAGAAAAATCAAGAGGAAGTGTAAGAAAGCAGACAAGGCATTACTATGATCTCTGGAAGGTTTTGAAGAAGCTGACTTGTAGATAACAACGTGGTTAATTTATGTTTATTTTGAAAAGTCTTTCACCAAATCCTCCATTAAATCTGTTAAGGAACCTCAAAAAACATGGTGAAAGACAACAGGTCTCTGAAGAGATAATTAAGAGAAAAGAATCAAAGAGATGCATTTGTAATCCTCTTTCTGAACAGTTGTATCTTTCCCAGATGACTCTAAACCAAACAAGTTTGAAAGCACAGGCAAGGACAGAGAAACTGGGTAACGGTCAAGGGTTCAGTGTCAGAGGCAATACTTGAATTCAAAAGACAGTGACGCAATTTTTCCCCGTAAGAATTAACATAGTGGACAACTGATACACATGGGAAAAAAGAAATGCACGTGTTTTAAATACACTGGAACAATATATATAGCATGGAAAACAGAAGAAGCATGAGAATAAGAATCAGCAACTGGAAGAGATGTTGGCTTTTAAGAACAGATCATCACTTTGAAATATCTCTGCTTCTTCATTCGTGAGATTAAATGACTAACTAAAATCTCCTACTTGTAAGCATTCTTGACATTTCTTTCCAAACAGTTGGATTGAAAAATGACAACAGGGACTGACTTTTACCATCTTTTTTCCAAAATCCTACCTTCTCTTCTTCAGAAAAGAATATTTTCAAGGAAGAAAAAAGATTACTGATGAGGGCGCTTGACAAAACAACATCTTCGTCTGGAAGTCCCTCTGAGAAAAAAAATATCACAAGTCTGAATTAAGTGTGCTTCTCATAGTCACTACCAGGGACAAGAAACTGGTTGGGACCCCTGGTCCAACCTAGTACAGATTATGCTCTTCGCATTCTTTGCGTCCAAGTGGAAATTAATCTACTTAGCATACATACAAGTCTGATGAGTTTACAAAGCTTAAAAAAAAAAAAAAAAAAAAGAAAAGTAATGAAAGACATACTACCAGTAAAATGAGGCAACTATCTCTATCAAGCATACCACTATAACAAATCAAACTTTACTCATTCATAGAATCATAAATTTGGCTGAGAATTAAAAGTATATCAAACTGATGTTTAACTGAAAAGTTCCAAATTCTCACTAAGTGTCATTAACATGACTTTCCAGCTACACCCCCTTCTGAGATTTCACAATAACGGATTTGTTAAAAAAACTTTCTATGTCATTACATCACCATTTCTATGTATAAATATATTTTTACATAGTTTTTAGCTTTAGTTTTGCAAAGACATTAATTTATAATCTTTTCTCACCTTGGTATCTGCTTATTTTCACAAAATTTACCTATTGGCAGACCAAGAAACAACTTTATTAGTAAACTGCAAGTGGAAAATGGCATACATGACAAGTAAATAGCCAAATTACCTTTTGAACAAACCTCAAGTAAACTAAATTCACCGTTCAATGCTAGTTTTTCCTTAAAGTACAATGCTAGTTTTTCCTTAAAGTACATGGCTCACTTTTAAACCAGGAATAAATCCACATTGGGAATAGGAGTACTTTATCGATCTTGAACACTTGGTAACAGAGGTTAAAAAAATCTCAAACAGTACAATATCCATGGATTCAATTTGACAAAAAAAAAAAAGATACTGTGTCTGCTAGTGCAGACACAGTATCATGATTACATCTGACATAAGACATAAAAAATATAGGAAATGAACATATATTTAAGCAGAAAAATCCACAATTTTGAATTTTTTTTTTTACATAAATACAAAAATTTGACACATGAAGCTCCAAGCAATCTATGCTTCCCCCTTCAATCTTTTCTAGTCTATTGTGAAATATCAGATCCTATGTTATGGTTACCTCTTCAGACAAAACATTCTGATGTTCATCATCCGTGAACTTCCTCTTTTGAAGATGTTATTCTTGTGACTAGCAATATCAAAAATGAGTGAGGCAAAACGTTTACACATCCCCAAGGGAGAGGCTCAACTCAGCTTTTCAAGCTTTCCTAACCTTAGTCAGCAGGCTTGTGTGATAAACCCACACACCCAGTACTTTCTTGAAATAATTCTCAGGGGAAAAATGGGAGGGAATAGAAAAATCAAATCAAATAAATCAGCCAAGCAATGAGCACTTGACTCACGTCTAGGTTGACACCATATATTTTACCAGATTCCAATAATAGCTACATCATGTCTTTATACAACATCCAACATAGCCCAGCAAGCAGCGAAATCATGGAGATTCTAAGAGAATATACGTTTCTCAGACAAACAGGTAACTAGGCAAGGATTTTATCCCACAAAAAGCTAAATTAACTAGTATTAGCTTGCAAAGTCAAGAAATCAGACGTTAGTAACAGCAAGGGTCGCACGCACCCTTAATCCATCGTGATAAAATACTACTAAGCCAAATTCCCCCAAGAAACCTGCCTCATTCACTATACAGGATGGTTTGTGCTCTCTGAATAGCGTAGTTGAATAACTTGTGGTGAGAAAATGCAACACATGGCAAGGAATCCTGAAAATCCCAAGACACGGTAAATTATATATGACAGGAGAATTAGGAAACTCTGGAAAAGAGCTTGGAAAAAAAAACCATTTTTGATATGATGGTATAAGCACTATCTACTTTTAATGTTAATTTTCAAGAAATATTCGAATAAAAGGGTGGATTTGAAAGATGACGTGAAGCTTTGTTTGATACATCCGTATGCTGTAGCCTGACAGTTTGGTCCCAGAAACAGTTGCCTTCTCTTGAAAATGGAGATAAGCTGCGGACAGACAGAAAGACATTTTTCAGCTACATATCCTTACATCCTTTTCTCATTTAGTGTAAGAAAATAATTGTGTCTAGGCTGTTAGAACAAGTTCAATCATCATCTTAAAACCATCAATTTATTAATGCAAAATGAAATTAATATGATTTTGATATTGATGCTTACCCTATCTTTGTCTAAATAAGTAGAGATATGTCAAAATGAACAGCTAGGCTGTACCTTCCCCTGATTAAAGTAAAAAAAAAAAAAAAAAAAAATATATATATATATATATATACAAACAAGCTGAAATATAAATATATTTATATAAATATACTTATACTTTATTATAAATATAAATATAAATATACAATATAAATATATTACAAACAAGCTGAAAAGAAAAATAATGCATGCTAACAACTTTCAAGACATTATAGGACATGTAGCAGTTTCCTAAATATTTTTACTAAAATCTCTACAGAGCCATCAGAAGTTTTGCTGCTTGTCCAGTTGTCAGAGGGAGAACCTGTCCCGGAAAACGCTGTGCTAGACACACTAGTGTGATGCCATTTCTTTGAGGCGTAGTATTAACAATTGTTTAAGAAGTCAATAATAGATGTTCTGGTATGTTTTACATTAGAAAATTTCACCAGGCCAACACGAGAATTATTTTGTCAGACTGCTAATAAATGCCATTGCCTCAGTTTTGATCATAGATGATTAAGCTGCAAGTATTTTTTTATTGCCTTAGGCTAAAGTCACTTGGCACTGTAACAGCAAAAGCTAGGGAATTTTAGCTTACTAGAAGGTTTCCTGATAATTCTATTTTTCATGAACATGTTTACAGCTAACCATCAGGCTTTAAGATGCTTGCACAATCCTTTAACCTGTGCCCTACGCATGCACAATTCCACGTAATACAAAAGATTTAGAATCACCACCTTCAGAAAGCAGCAAGAAGACAGTTGCCAAACTTAAGCAAGGGGCAGCGGAAATGAAATTCATTAAATTTCAAGGAAAAAAGGCGTTTGTGCATGTTGTTGTCTCAAATGAACGAATAGCAACTCTTCTGACAAAAAAAAAAAACTAAAAGTTGAGTTGAAAAAGCCTCTGCACTGTGACTGAGACAGATTCTGCCTTTCCCCCCAGCCGCCACCACCACCAAGCACATACCTCTGGTGCTTCTTCCCTTTCTGCAGGTGAACCAAACCAGATGAAAACCAGTGGAAAAACATGGGACAGCCTTCCTAAAGGAAGCAACAAAAAGAACATAGTTGGAAAGCCTGGCCACCCTGATTTGCTTGAAAAGTGCAGACCCTTCACCGATACACTTCCAAGCTCAAAGCTCAAACATCACGATGATATTCATTAAAGAAACTGAAATTCTGCTGAAACTCGACAGGAGAGCAGAGGATGAAAAAAAAAATTCCTTTTGTCTGCTGACATTATTGCTTTATTATCTGACTGGCCTGTCACCAAAATCTTGTTTAGTCTAGCATCAAGTTTATCTTCTTCCCGTTGATTAAGACCTGGTACTCAAGCAGTAGACCCAGATGTAATCTAAAAATAGTATCCACTCTCAGGCATAAAGCTTAGAGAAAAAATGTATGTTGCAGTGGAGAAGAAACAAACACCTCAAAAAATCTGAATAATGTTCAAATAGCTTCACATATATTAACAGAAATTTTATTCTTGGTCAAGCCTACAACGAGCTGCACTCTTTATAGAAACTGATCAAGAAAATGCTGAAAATTAATTAATCTTTGACAAGGGCCCACATTTTCACTGGCATTTTGGAAGACTGTAATTTTGATGTGCTACAGGACTTTAGCCAGCGCAAAGATTTGCCCAGAGAACAGTAACATAGTGGCAAAATAACAAAGATGAAGATAATGACCTTAAATAATGGTGATCACTAAGCCAAATGTTTCTGTCTTGGGAACTTGGGATCCTTTTGGGTAAGTGCAGATAGAAAAGCGGATTGGTTCTTCCAAATCTTAGAAATTCAGCAAAATTTAGGTTAGGGATCTGCTGATTTATAATTTATGATGATTTGCAAGTTGCAAAAAGACAGCAATTCCACATCTTTCATAATTACAGAATCACAGAATCATCTAGGTTGGAAGAGACCTCCAAGATCATCGAGTCCAACCTCTGACCTAACACTAACCAGTCCTCCACTAAACCATATCACTCAGCTCTACATCTAAGCATCTTTAAAGACCTCCAGGGACGATGACTCAAACACTTCCCTGGGCAGCCTATCCCAATGCCTAACAACCCTTTCAAGATATATGGCAGAAGTGAAAGAACTTACCATAAATGCACAATTATTCCCATCTTTTACGTCCTTGTATGGGGGAAATGGAAATTTTGCTTTGGGAAGCTTGCTAGTGTTGCTCATCTAAATAAAAATGGCATGATATTAGAAAAAATGCATTAGAAGTCCACAACTCTATACATCATTAATTCAAAACAAAACGTTATTTGTTCTGCCAGTCACGGAGGTATGACCAGTTGCACAAATCAGTATTGTTTCCATGCTGTAATGACATTTGTATCCTAGAGAGAGCTGGACTCAGCAGTTTTATCTGCAATAACTGTGTGTAATAAACTACACATATATAACAACAATTTGATTATGAGGATTATTGCTCAAACTCTTCTGTTTATTTCATTGGAATTATTAGTGCTAATCATATCCAACCGTGTGTGGCTATTCTCTCTTTGCACACACTTCATGGGATCTGAGCTGGTTTTCCTCATTTACCTACAAATCACAGTGCCATGTGCCCAAGAGGTTTTCATGCCAGTGCTGTTAGCAGAGAGCCAAATCTCCATTAATATTTCCTTTCAATGCCCACAGCGTGGTTCGGCCCTGAACTAAGAAGAGTCAATAGCTAGAGTAATCCCACAGTTCAGAGGCTGAAACACTGACAGCATAATTCCATTGCTATACAACTTCCACATGGGGAAGGAAAGAAACTTTTGGCACAGACAGCGTACTTTCCAGAGTAAAAATTTCATCATTTACTTCTCCCCTTTCAATTCTACGCAGAGTTACCAAGCCTGCTATGCTTGGACAACTGCCTGGTGGTTTACTCAGCCTGAGGTAAGCAGGGGGTGCTTCAAAGCTCATCCAGATCCACTTGTGATACCATAGTGATAGTTTATTTTCTACATAAAGCACCACTGCCTATTTCTGCAGTTGATTCTTTGAGGATTTTATACTCACTGAATCTCTGTCTTCCTCCAGGAGGTCGATTAGAGGAGAAAATACAAAAATCTTTTTTTTTTTTCTACTGTGGCAGAGACTCAGACACACAATATTTGGCACAGTTGTACTTCAAAAAAATCCCAATGTGGACGTAGTTTTACTGGCAAACAAATACTAGTTAATGTCACATTTTGCTGAATTAGGCTGAGCAGTTTTTCAATGATTTATACTTTTTCCATTGCTACAAGGTTTCAGCAGTCCAACAATTTTCCTAACCCAACTGTCCTTAAAATAAATAAGCCCTTCAGCAACAGAAAACAAGCCTGAAGTCAGGCCCAGATCCAGGGTAAAATTTACACCATTTAAAGTCACTTCCTTCAAGAGATGGCAGGACAGAGGGTGTCCTCATTTAACACAACATCCCTATATCTCCATTTCTGGTTTCAAGCTTTGTGTTGGAATTATTTTATTTGGGGGAATACAGTAATGATTTCCTCACATAATGTAAGTATTTCCACATCATAAGCCTTTTCACACAGAAACTTCCTGAATATTTGAAGTGGCTGAGAGTTCCCAAATTCCAAAAGAAACAACGATGACTCCCTCCCAATCTTGCCCAGTATATTTTTCAAGGAAAAACACAGGTGCAAAACTGTCAATAGACTTTCGCCTGCAGGCTAAATGGCAGTGAGTGCTGAAAGCAAGCAGAATGCATACAAATAGCTTGCATTTTGTCTGACTTCATACTGTCTAGGACTTTAACCAATACATTAAAAAAAAAAAGAAAAAAAAAAAAAAGAAAAGGACTTTCATTTAAGGGTATTTCTTTCTACAGAGAAGGAGAAAAGATGGTGAGGATGAGCAGCATTCGTGTTGTTGTTCTTCTCTCATGTAGACAGGACTTGAAGCAACTACAAACTCCCACTTAGAGAGTATTCTGTACATGTGTACACTTTCATATGCACAAAAGCTAGTAACATGTTTCAACTGCTTACAACAAGGAAAAACAATTGACAGCTGTGCCAGCACTTAATTTTGGATAGACAAAGCCTCTTTAAGTCTTCTGTGAACTTCAGTGAAACCTTCTAGCCATAGAGCAATAAAATAAAATTGTCGGTCTTGAGAGAATGAAAAATCATAAACAATATTACATTCTGATCGTTCACTTGCATTAATTAATCACAGAATCACAGAATGGCTTGGGTTGGAAGGAACCTTACAGATCCTCTAACTCCAACACCTCTGCCATAGGCAGGAATGCCACCCACTAGATCTAGTTATGGTACTAAAAGTATACATGCCAAATACTGAAATTGCCATCCTTCAGCACCTAGTATATGCAAGCTACTCCAAAAAACAACTAAAATTCTAATAACCAAAGGAATAAATTGAAACTGTAAAGCAGTTTATGGAGCAATATCGTAATAGGTTATGGAAATAAAAGCTCTGCTGCTCACAAAGCAGCTGAAACTATCTTAAGATAAGCCACTTCAAAGTTGCCAGAACAGACAAAGGGTTAACCTGCTCAATGACAGAAATTAGTGGTGATGAATTGGTGGCACAGCTGAAACCCAATTAATGACAATGCAGAATTTATATTCTTAAACCTGTCCTGGTCAAAATGTTTTATAAAACCCTTGTCCTGGCCTTCTGTTATAAAGAACGGGGTGGCGGTGATGGAGAAATTACCAATTCTGAGCAATTTCTTTATTCAAGCTGTGGCTTGAATCATTCACTGACAACATGAAATATAAACGCAGTTACTGGTCAGTCTCCACATCGTTACTAGGAAAAGCATCTCAAAGAATTCAGAAGTGTGCCTGCATCTCACCTACCTAGACAGCCAAGGAGAGGCACATAACCTAACACAACACTGAGCTTGACACACACTAACCAAACTCTTGGCACAAACTTTTGGGCTTCATTTCTTCCCAAACCACAGGAACACCAAGCACCAGCCCTTCCAAAATTAACTTGAACGTATTGTGAGAAACACCGTTCACTTTTTCCTTGAATTTAATCACACAAACCCAGCTGAGAACAACATCCCCATCATCTCATCTCCTCTGGCCACGACTTGTACTAACTCTGCAGTCAGTACTCAACAGCCTGCCTTGCCCTGGTTCGCAGTCAGTACAACGCAGTCTAGCACAGGGCTGCTACTACAAATGGAAAATCTCCAATTCCCAGGGGCACGTGCAATGTGTGGCTCAGGTCACACCCTTACTGACATAGTACACTGTGTTCAAAGGCTCACAGCTTCTTCAAACACCACTTCCCCCTCAATGCGTGCCAAAATAACAATCCCAAAAAGCCACCACCCACATGAACTTTTAAACTTTTTTCAAAAGAGCGTATTTACTACTAAACCTTTGTCTTGCCTATTTCTAAATGACTGGAAAAAAAAAAAAAAAGCTGAATTAAACCAGAATGCAAGATGCAAGACCTAAGACAATTATACTAACTGGATTAGATTTAAATGCATAAAGTGAAACTGAATACCATTAATATCAAACCAAAATATTCAATACTTCAAAACCTACTTTCAGCTATTTAGAGGACTGTTATTTGTAAAAGTCTGCCCACCTTTCTTCCAAGTTAAATATCCAGATACCTGTCTCTCCAAGGAGACTAAGGAAACTAGAAGCATCTTTCTGCAAATAAAATAAATAAATAAATAAATAAGGCAACAAATAATATCAATGCAATTTTTACAGTGGAAGGAAGTCATTAATTTACCATATGAATCTACCTGTGTTTCAGCTTGAAGCTCAAAATACACTAATTAGTTTTGAAAAAAGAGACAAAAAGCATTGTAGCAAGTGTTTTGATGACTTCACTATGCTAATCAGCAAAAATGATGGTTGATTGAGTAATCAAAATAATTAGGAAAGAAACAGACAACAAAAGAAAGAATAACATAAATATATCACGTATAATTCAGGGCATAACAACACAACTCTTCTCAGTTCACATCCTTATTCTGTGAAATGTGTTCATATGATTCGTGTCAATATGGAATAATGCTAGGGCTGCACGGTATGATGAATGTGACCTTCTGTCCTACAGACCCTTGTATAACCACAAGTCGAAGAAAAACAGAGTGGTTACTGTATATAGTTCTTGTATGTTGCAAAGGAATGTTTTAGCAAGTCGTGTCAATAGAGAGCTTGAAGGGAAACGTAGTTGTAGGCTTTTCCTTGAAGTCTCTGATATCTGGAGGGTTCAGAATAACTGCTAACTATTATGACTATTGCATAGGACACTACGCAAGTCTCTGATATCTGGCCAGGAGCTTAAGTAGACGGGGAAAGCTGAAGAACGACTAAAAGACAAAGCTTGCAGGGGACGCTGCACAAGTCTCTGACATACAGCCAAGTTGGACAAAGGAAAAGGACAAGAGGGAGGAAGACTATGAGCCTTCAGCATGAAGACTCCCCGTGCACCCAGCACTCTTTACGTGCCTTTTATTAACCCCACAAATAAACCTCATAAAGCTAAGTTGACTCAGAATTTATAACAGTATGGTGAAAACTGTTGCACTCCAAGTTGGGAAGGGGAGAGGAAAATGTTCACGTATATGTGAGAATTGTACTCAAACAGCTGATTACACCTCTGCATACACCTTTTAAGGGAAAACTTTAAACCTGAGAAGCAACAGGCAGTCTTCTACGTTTCCTGATATGATATCATGATAGATGATATAGGTATGATATCATCCTTTGATATCATACCTATAGTCTGCTGCAGGCTGAAAAGTAGCCTGTGCCTCAGGTACCGTTTTATGCCTTTGCTTTTGTTACTACATCCCTGTAAGTCTTCAAAAGGGAAATGAAATTATCCTACCCAGAAGAAACACCGTCCAGAAGACACTTGAGTTGTTAGGGCCTGAATTCTCAACGAAACCAAAGGCAGGGATCTTACTGACCTGGAGAAAGAGGCTTTAATCTCTCCTGGCTTGTTTACTCCTGAAGGAGCGTGAAAGAGACGCGTGTCCTTGTACGTGAAGAGGAGGTGAAGGAACAGCTAGTGCAAGGAATGCACAAATCCGTTGCGCCAGACTAATAGCTGGTTGGCTCTGAGCTGGGAGACTGCAACAGAAAAACAGAATTATCTAGGTTGGAAGAGACCTCCAAGATCACCGAGTCCAACCTCTGACCTAACACTAACCAGTCTCCAACTAAACCATATCACTGAGCTCTACATCTGAATGTCTTTTAAAGACACCCAGGGATGGAGGCTCAACCACTTCCCTGGGCAGCCCACTCCAATGCCTAACAGACCTTTCGGTAAAGAAGTTCTTCCTAATATCCAACCTAAACCTCCCCTGGCACAACTTCAGGCCATTTCTCCTCGTACTGTCACCAGGTACACGGGAAAACAGACCAACCATCACCTCGCTACAGCCTCCTTTAAGGTACCTGTAGAGAGCGATAAGGTTGCCCCTGAGCCTTCTCTTTTCCAGGCTGAACAATCCCAGAGAAGGAGGAGGGAGGGCGAGTGAACGGCTGTGTGGTGCTTAGCTGCCGGCCGGGGGAAACCACGACGACAGCAATGTAGTCCTGTAACCAAATTAAAGCCTAAACTTTCAGCCTGGTCCTTGACCTGAACAGGGAGTGAGGATCCAGATCCTGGCATTTATACGTGATAGTTTATATGCAGCCTAAGTAAATACTGCAGTCGGAGGTCATGGCGCTAGATTTTGAAAAGTCTGGCATAAAGAAGAGATCTCAGAAAAGCAAATTTAAACAACATTAATGTCAAGTAAAGTCTTTCTGATTGCTGTATTCTTTATCTGTCGTGACTAGACAGATGAAAATCTATGACAGCAATTTTGCCTTTAAGGTCATTTCTTTTTCTTTATTTCTTTTATTTACATTGATTTATCTTATTTTAACAGACTCTGTACTAATTTTCCTCACAGAATGACTAGCAGAAATACGACCCTTATATGCCTTTCGTAATTAATTAATTAGGTCAACTCTAACCACTAAGCAGCTTGTCAGCTTATTTCTATTAGCGATAAGGAGCAATTGAACCTAAAACACAGAAGCCAGGTTGATGAGCCTATTCCACAAGGTCTCATGACTCCACACATGTGAAGTGAAATCTGCCAGCTGGAGATCATTTGACCTTTGCTATATAATAAGCATGAGGAATGATGGGAAGAACTGCCACTCCAGGAGAGTTTGAGGTTTAGACTACCTAAGTTGCTTTCTAGGGTTCTGCT